AACAGAAACACAGACCTTCCCGTGTTAGACTGCAAAGAGGAGAGCAGCCCCCCCCCAACACTGCCTCCAGTGGACTTGTCCAGACCCAGCTTGACCAGAGGCCCTGTCTCAGTGACAGAGCACGGGGGCAGCCAGTCTTGCGGGGGCTCATCAGGTGCATCACAAGCCGCTCACTTTTATTTACCATGAAATCAAGGACTCACAGAATTTTCCTACAAAGGGACCATGGGAAACTTTCCCTTCGCCTCTCGAGTGGTGAGTTCAACCCCAGTTTACCTGCCCAATGGCTGAGAGCTCCCACTCCAGGCCTCCTCCCTCTGACGCTGTATTCCTGGGCCTCAGTTTTTTTCATCTTTAAAATGGGCTCTAGCTGGTTTGGCTCAGTGGTTAGAGCATCAGCCCAAGGACTGAAGGGTCCCGGGTTCGATTCCAGCCAAGGGCATGTACCTCCGTTACAGGCCCGATCCCTGGCCCCAGTTGGGATACATGTAAGNCCAAGGACTGAAGGGTCCCGGGTTCAATTCCAGCCAAGGGCATGTACCTCCATTACAGGCCCGATCCCTGGCCCCAGTTGGGATACATGTAAGAGGCATCCAATCGATGTGTCTCTCTCACATCGATGTTTCTCTCTCTCTCTCGCTCGCTCTCTTTCTCCCCTTCCACTCTCTCTGTAAAGCAATGGAAAAAATATCCTCGGGTGAGAATTAAAAATATAAAATAAAATGGGCTGGCGTCTGCCTGCCGATCTCTGAGGCTTCCTTCAAGCCACAAGCACAATGGTGTACGTGAAGGTGTCCTGGCAGTGAGGCCCGTGCTCCTAGGGGTGTCAGTCCTAGTTGTGGGTGGAATAGTGACCCCCCAAAAGACATGTCTAAGTTCCAAACCACAGGACCTGCCAATGTGACTTCATTTGGTAAAAGGGCCTTTGCAGATGTATTTAAGGTCAGGATGGAGATGAGATCATCGTGGACTATCTGGCTGGGCCCTAAATCCGATGACTGGTGTCCTTACTAAGAGAAGAGCCACAGAAACACGTGCCCAGGAAGGAGGAGTCCATGTGACCGTGGAGGCTGAGGCGGGCGTGATGCACCCGCGAGCCAAGGATGCCAGAAGCACCAGGAGCTGGGAGAGGCAGGAAGGCCCCTCCCCTAGAGTCCTCGGAGGGAGCCTGGCCCTGCCCACACCTTGATTTCAGACTTCTGGCCTCCACATAAATTTCTGTTGTCTGAAGCTGCCAAGTGTGTGTTCATACATCCCAGTCACCCCAGGACACCAATGCAGCCTGCAGGGCAAGGGCTGCCCATCCCAGAAAACACGTGTTACTACAGCCTCGGAAACTGGCAGGCAGAGAGTGAGGGCGGACTCGGGAGGAGACAGCCGGGGATCACAGGCAGCCACCCCTCAGAGGCCACGTGTCCTCAGACTACTCATTTAACTTGGATTTTCACAGGACACAGGAGAAGAGCAGCAGCCCCCTGTACGTCCCTGTGGGTGAGCACAGGCGTGGGCACTCAGCACACCCCTGCACAGTGACCCCCAAACATCGACTGTTGTCAGCGGCAGAGGAAATCGGCCTCCAGCCCCTCCGAGAACTGCGCTCCCCTCCAGTGACGTCTGCAAGCCATTGCCAGGCAGCACGGGGCCTCGCCCCTCCTGCAGACACGAACTGGGGAGTTCCGTCACCCACCTGGGTCCTCTGGGTCTGACTGGCCTTCCAGCTCCATGCGATCTGCAGCAGCGTTCCCCGCCCCCCTACTTAAATGCCAGCAGGGCTCTGTCTGAAGAAGCACTGGCTTTGGAAACCTGTGCTTTTGAGCTCCTTTTTTTAAAAATCAATTTCTGGCTCCTGGTGGGGTAAAGGCAAAGAGCTCACTGGCTCCTGACAGCTCCTCAGAATGTCGAGCCACCCCTGCTTCTCACTGCCCCTCCTCCCTGGTGACCTTGGGATGCCCTTGAGCAAGCAGCCCCACCCTCTCTCTTGCCAGCCCCAGCATCCGACAGGAATCAGGTGCTCTGAGCAACACTGAATGGCAGTTCTCTCTGGAAGCACCTGGCATGAAAGCTCTGCGGAGAAACGGGTAGGAAAGCTCTGTGTATGATTGTGGCTTTCAAGTCCAAGTCCAAGTCAGACACAGGGAAGCCGGTGCAACGAGAGGCAGGAAATACAGCCTAGAGCTTGCTCCTGGCTGTTGCGGGGGTGGGGGTGCAAACACATGTATATATGTGTGTATGTGTGTGTATGTGTGTGGTGTGTGTGTGTGTGGATGTGTGCACTTGTGTGCATGTGCGTGTACTGTGTGCATACGTTGCCGTGTGTGTACACATGTGCATGTGTGTACTGTGTTGTGCATGCCTGTGTGTTTGTGTTGGAGTGTGCATGTGAGCTGCTCTTGCACTGCGTGTGCTTGTGTATGGGTGCACATGTGCAAATCCTCCATCCTGCTCTGTTTTCCTGACAGCAGCCTGCACACACAGGTGTGGGGCCCACCGCCTTCGCTGCCCCTACAACTCCTCCCAGATCTTGGAGGAAATCCCACAACAGCAGAGCCTCCCAGCCTGGCACCCACGGGTAGGGAGCTGGCCCCATCGGGGGCCATATGGGGTCTGCAGCCTTTGGCCAGGCCACCCCCCTCTGAGCCCCCAGCCTGAGTGGGGCTCCCCTTTTCCTGCCCCCTCCCATCCTGAAGGCTGAGATGGGTGTTGGTTAACAGGCCTGCCCTGCAGAGAAGGCCGTCCTGCCCTTGGGATGTCTTGTCCCAGCCTGTCCCTCAGCTCCTGGGCTCCTTGTTGCCTTTCGCTTTCAAACTGTGGTCTAACACGTGTGCACAAGCTCTGGGCCTCAGCTCACTCCTGGGTGACCCTGTGACCCTGCCACCTGTATCAGGCCTCGTGGACATGACAGGACAGGACAGGAAGCTGCTCGGAGCCTTCCTAGGAGAGGCCGGGGGAGCAGGCAGGCCCGTGGCAGGGAGGGCTGATGTACTACGTCATTCTGCACAGGGAGACCTGGGAGACCCTGGCACAGAGCTGATCTGCCAGACAGTGACTTCTCCTTTTAAAAATGACTTTACAAACCAGTAAATGGAACAAAAACTGCTATTGTAAAGAAATACCACTGGCTCCCTGTGTGGCTTTTTGTGTCTCCCTGTTCCAGTCTCCCGTACTGGACACCACTCCCTGGGGTTCGGTGGGTCTCCCAGAAATCCGCATCGCCAGCCAAGCTGCAGCAACTAGGCCCTCTGCAGATGTGCGTTGCTGCTGCTTCCGGCTGTCTGGACCGGTGAAGGTGACCTTAGTGACAAGCTGCTGCCTGGGAGGTCTCTGTGGCCAAGGCAATGCCTCTGCTGCCACCTGGTGGTGACTGTTGGACTCGCAGGCGGTCATCTGTGAGCTGGCCACCCCTGCAGAGCATCCAGTCCACCACCCTCCTGAACTGGTGAGGACAGGAATCTGATCCTCGGAAGGGTTGATAAACCTGCCCAAGGCCACACAGCAAGTTGCCAGCAGGGCAGGACTGCCCTGGCCTCCTCAGTGCCTCCTGACATACAGGTTAGGGGTGACACTGTAATACCGCCCAGGGCACCACCCTGAGGGCTGTCCGCTGGGCTCCACCAGAGTCCAGTGTCCCCACCTCCAGTCCCCTGGAGAGGGCCCTTTACACGGCCTGACCACTGTGGCAGTGCCCATCCGACCACAGTGTCCACTGGCGACGCCGCATCTGGCCACCACCTCACCTCTCTGTGGTCACTGTGCCCCTGTCAGGCCCTGGCTGAGCCACCCCTCCCTAGGCTGCTGCTCCCAGGCCTCATCTCCTCCCCATCTCAGGGAGTCTGGGGCAGTGAGGCCGCCTGCTCTTGGTGGGGGGTGCTCAGCTCTGGTGTCCACAAGCCCTGGGGGACCCCTGTGCCTATTTCATGGAGGGGGAGGCAGCCTGAGGGGGTGCCTTCCACATGGGGAGCCAATGCATGGTGTCACTTAGAGGTGGGCACATTCTGACCACCCTGGATGCCGTGTCTCATCCCGTGGGAACCAGTGGGGCAGGATCCTTAAAATGCAACCCAAGGGAGCCTGGAGAGAAGCCCCCAAGGGAAGGGAGGCCAGGGCCAGGAGAGGGAAGGCCCGCCTGGCACCCGGTTCCCACGGGGGCTGGGGAAGGGAGCCTCATGGTCTCCCTTCCACCTCCCCGGCCTCTTCCTCCCTCCATCCCTCCAAGTTTTGAAAACCCTCTCCCTCCTGGGAAGCTGGGTGGAGAGACTGGGATCGAGGAGGTGACCGGTCACTTAGAGACAGGACAGGAACAGGTGGAGCCCTGTGTCCCTCCCCCCTCACCCCCCCACTCTGAGTCACAGCTCCCTTTCTCCACTACTCTCCACACTTCCCCGATGGAGACAGCAGGGCCACCAGACGGCAAGTTGCTTGTGTGACCTGCTCTTTATTGACTGCCACGGGCTGCACTGTCGTGGGCAGCCAGATGCCCAGAGAGCTACTACAGAGAGAAAGGAGGAGGGAGGGTGGTCTGAGAGGAGCCAGCTGCCGAGGGCCCAGGCACACGGGGCCTCCCATCGACAGACCTCAGGGCCCCAGGACACGTGGGCAGGCACACAGCTCCGCCCTGACACAGGCGTCCATTGCCACGGGTCAGATGCACTTGGCTGGGAGTCACCCAGAGATGGCTCAGCAGGGGTGTCCTTCTTCTGACCACTCAGTGAGTTGAGGGGCCTGCATCCCCCAGGAGGGCGGGACTGTTGCCCAAAGAAGCTGGGATGGCTGTCACTCCCACATCTAGCTGGTGTTGGGATCTGGGTCACCCTGAGGCCGCAGCACCTCGGACCGAGGCCCCAGGCTCTCCGGGCTACTCCCGCAAACCCTCACTCCTTCAGAGAAGAGGAAAGAAAATGAAAACAAGGCAAGGGAAGGAAGACAGATGTCCCACTTTCTAGGGTCCCCTGATGGGTGGGTCACAGGGGCAGCAGCGGGTGGCAACCGAGGCCAGGGGGAGCTTAGGACGAGGGTGCAGAGCTAGGCTTCTCCTCCCGCGACACGGGGATGGCGCGCTCGCTGTGGCCCAAATCCAGGCCAGACGGGACCTTGGGGCCAGAGAAGGTCAGCATGCCGTCGGCAGACAGGGAGCAGGAGACAGCCGACTGGTCCACGTTGGCAGGCAGGCGGTAGCGGCGGTGGAACTCGCGGGAGATGTAGCCGTGGTCATCCTGGGCGGGGTCAGGGGAAGGCGCCGTCAGAAACGCCACTACTGCGGTGGCCGGAGAGCTCCCGTGGGGAAGGACCGCTGAGCTCGCCCAGGGCGGGCCGCAGGGAGAGCTGGGCCCCTGCTGAGGTTTGCCCTGCATGGCGGCCCTGGCCTGCCCGGGTCCCTCACCGCCAAGGAGTTAGCGATTCAGACTAATTTCGCTCTGAAATCTCACAGATGGTTCTGCGCCTGGCCCTGGATCAGGGTTTCCCTGTGTCTGTGACCCCACAGACCACTGAGGCTCAGGAAGGGCACTGGTGGTGAAGGGCTGCTGAGAGGCGAACATGTCAGCACACGCCAAGCGTCTGGAGCAGCGATAAATGTCAGCCACGCTGTCATCACAGCCCGCCCTCCAGAGCTGGGTTCACGTGGAAACCTGTGTGGGCTCGGAGCTTGCCACCTTGGCGCTTGGCATTTCAGGGGTCCCTCCTAATCCCATCCCATCACGCAGGTGATTTCAACAGAGCTGAGGACAGTCCCAGCCATTCACCCGGCTGCTGGGCCTGCAGAGGGCTCCGGAGCCACCTCCCACCACTGGGAGCCAGCTCTGCTCAGGTGGACGGGGCGCCCCCTCCTGGAGAAGGGCCAGGGTTCGAGGGCTCACCTGCCTCTCGTTGTGTTTGCCGTGGATCTCCACGAAGTCCTCCTGCACCTTCACCGTCAGGTCCTCCGGGGAGAAGTGTTTCACATCCAGAAAGATGACAAACTTGTCCCGGTCAGACCGGACCTGAAACCCAGACACTCATGTGGGTCTCCCGCAGGGCCGAGGCTCAGGGAGGGAGCTTGCTGGCCCTGCCCAGCTGGCCAGAGAGGTCGGTGTGGAGTGGCCTGTGGCTCTGTCCCCAGTTATCAGAACAGAAACTGCAGATTACAGCTCTAACCTCTCCTTAGACACACCCAGGGGAACAGAGTCTCAGGAACCAGTGACGAGGGGCTGTGTGGACCCTCAGCTGACAACCAGACTAGGGGTGTGAGGCGGTGGTGTCTGTTGATGTCTGGCTGGTAAACGGCTGACTGGCTGTTTATGGCTGGGCAGCAGTTGTGGGTTGGTTGGCTGGTTGGTTAGAGGTTGGCCGGTTGGTTGGTTGGATAAGGTTGGTTGGCTGGCTGGTTGGTTGGTTGGTTGGTTGGATAAGGTTGGTTGACTGGCTGGTTGGTTGGGTAAGGTCAGTTGGTTGGCTGGCTGGTTGGTTGGTTGGATAAGATTGGTTGACTGGCTGGTTGGTTGGGTAAGGTCAGTTGGTTGGCTGGCTGGTTGGTTGGTTGGATAAGGTTGGTTGATTGGTTGGTTGGTTGGGTAAGGTCAGTTGGTTGGCTGGCTGGGTGGACCCAGCACTTGGACTAAGGCTGCTTCCTTGGCTTCATCTCATTTCTCCATCAACAGCCCAGAGCCCTGTCCCTTTGCATCGCCTGGCCTTGCCAGATGCCCACACGCTCACCACCAACTGCACTGCGCACAGAGCATGTTCATCCGCCCCCCTCACTCACTCAGCATGTTTGTTTAGGCACTTTGGGCTGCTGGAGTGGGTGGGCATGTCTCAGACCCTGTGTTTAGACAGTGGGCAGACCCAGCACCTCCAGCCCCTGGACCTGGGGTCCATCCCGGCTGGGAAAGGGAAGACCAGTGGCTCTTGCTGCCTTCCCTTTGGGCCTGGCTCTGGCAGGCATGGGGCGAACCCTCTCTCCTCATCTCTGCTGGCAGCAGGGGGCGTCAGGCAGGAGGCCCTCCGCTCAGGACGTGGGGCAGCACCCCCCACCCAGCCTTCCTGCTAGAGGGGGAGCCGGACAGTGCTAAACACGCAGCTCGCGGCTGCCGGGGAACTTGCCTTGGCTGGGTTGCTCTTGGGGCCTCCGGCATGTGGTTGGTGCATTACACACCACATGTGGGTCATGAGCTGATGGAGGAAAAGACAGTGTCGGGCTCCAGCGGCTCCCCCTCCCGGCCCCTCCCTGGAGGCAAGGGAGGCTCTGCTGTGGGGGCGCCCCCGCCTCTGCGTGTAGGGAGGAACTGGGGCGAGGGGAGAAGTGGCCCCGCAACCGCGGCCGTCCACTCCACACGACAGGACGAGAGCTCAGCCCTCAGCAATCCCGCTGGCCCTCCAGCCACGCCGGGCCCCGACCGGCGGCCTTACCTCGGAGATGCCGGAGTCCAGCGCGGTGCGGAAGAGGGACTGGCGGTAGTGGGGGCTCACGGTGGAGGACAGGAAGGGCAGCAGGTCGTACTCAAAGAGGCCCTCCCCGAAAAACTGGTCGAACAGCCGGCTGGGGTAGAAGGCGCCCAGGGCACGTTTGAACCAGGGGTGCTGGATGGCGACGTCCATGTCGGGCGTGGGCACTGCAGCTCCCCGGGCTGGTGGCAACTCAGGCAGGGGCCTCTGGGCAGCTCTGGGAGCCGGGGCTCGAGCCCTCCCTATATACTCCTGGGACACAATGCAGGCATTAGGGGGATTTAATGCCTGCATGAGCTAAGGAGAGACGCCGTCCAGTCAGCAGAAACAGGGCCCTGGCTGAGAGCCCACCACTACCAGCCCCGGGCACCGACCAGCAGGCCTCCCCGAGGAGCAGCTCTCTGCAGGCCCCCTGCCGCCCCTCGCCAGGGGACAGTGGAGGTCAGCTGTCTGCCTCCCTGGTCCTGTGGGACCCCACGGCCACCCTACCTGTGGGCCCTCACACCCCCGTGTCACAGACGAGGGAACTAAAGCACAGAGGCTAGACAAGTGGTCCCCAAGCCCCACAGCTACTAGGTGAGGGCTCATCAATGTTCAAAGCAGAATTACCTCTGTTGCTTCTTCCTGCTAACAAAAATTATGCAGATGTGCAAAAATCTAAGGAAAGAGAAAATACAAGCAATGAAAAGCACCTGTTGCCCAGGCTGGTGTGGTCCAGGGGTTAGAGCCTGAGCTTACCCACCAAAGGGTCGCAGGTTCGATTCCCAGTCAAGGGTATGTGCCTGGGTTGCAGGTGCCATCAGGGGCATAAGTTGATATCTCTCTCTCTCCAGCCCCCTCCCTTCACTCTCTCCATAAAAATCAATATCCTCGGGTGAAGATTAACAACAAAATTTTTTTTAAGTGCCCGTCACTCCAGCACCGGGGGCCCTATCGTGGGGTCCATGTGCATCTAGACGGCCAGGCAAGTTCACTTTTACAGGCATGGATCCCACACACATCCGGCTGTGCCCCATATGCTCACCCTGGTGTCGACCCCACTAATGTGTCCTCTCCCGGGCATGACGTCCCTGAAGCCAGGCACCGGTCAGGCTGTGACCCGTCCCTGCTGTCACTGTTAGTGGCAAGGCCTGGCTCTTTTTCGGCTTCTCTCTCTGTAGCCCTGTCCACTCACTCTCAGCATGTGTTCCCAGAGGGGACCTGCCTCGCGTCAGTTTTTAGGCTTTCGATGTTTCCCGGTTGTAAGGCTTTTGATGTTTTTCAGTAGCGTGGCCTCTAGCTCACACCCACCCACAGCGAAGGAAAATGCCATTCCCATGCCCCACCGGGCTGGCTTTGTGATGGGCGACCCAGGCGGAGAGCCTTCTTATTTGTCTTCGCGCCTCCCCGTTCTAACCGCGTCTGTGGCGCGCACGCCCCCTCGAAGCGCCAGGGATCCCGCAGCCTCATCTCTCGCCGCTGGACTTCGGCGGAAGGAAAGGGCAGGCTTGCCTGGGGTTTAAGCGGGATCGCAGCTGACACATCCGAGAGGGAACCGGTGTTCACAGTGGGGATTTCAGAGCCTGCCTGACACACCTCCCCTCCAGCCAGCGTGCTCCCCAGCAAACCCTTCCTGCTGCATTTCTGAGCACCCGCTGGGTGGCAAAGGGTCCTGACAAACCTGGGAATGCCGCCCTTTGCCCTGCAAGTCTACAATTTCAGGGAGTCATTCCCCAGGGTGCCAGGCAGCAAGGGCCACGTTAGGGTGCAGGTAATCAATGCTTCGGGGTGAGGCCGCCTCCCCTGCCCCAGGCTGGCTTGGCCATGCTGATGGCAAGCTGGTGGTTCCTGCCGACACCCTGTAGGGCAGATGGGTCCCCATACCCCCCATTTCATAGACCAGGAAAGTGCAGTTAGAAGTTTAGCCTGGTTGCCCAGGTCCCTTGGCTTGGCGGAGGGGAGGGAGCTTCAGTGCAGGTCCCCCCGGGGCGGCAGCAGGAGGGCAGGCAAGGTGGTGGAGCCTCCCCTGTCCCCACCCGCCCCAAGGCGGCCGAGGCCCAGAGAGCTGCGCTGGCTGCGGGGACACAGCACACCCAGGGCAGCCCCAGCCCGGCACGTCTCCTTCCGCCAGGGCGTCTGGCAGGCTTTGCAGGTCAAAGAGAAAGGGTTAAATTTCCTAAAAATCAAAGACAAAAAGGTGTGTCTACTGAAGCTAAGAAGATGCATTGAATCCAGAGGGGTGCCCCTCGTTCAGACACCTGCTGAATGAAGGGAACTGAGGCCACCCACAGGTGGGGGGGACACAGCTGCCTGCATGGAACCTGCGTCCTGGGGGAGGGGGGGTCGGGCCGTCACAAGCATGTGAACCTGAGGCCGAGAGAGGAGGGCTCCCCGAGGGGTCCGCAAGCTGAGAGGCAGAGGGGCAGTAAGCTTGAGTTTGGGCTCAGGGCGGGGTCCTCCGTGAAGAGGGCAATGGGCTAAAGGAACTGGAAGGACAGAGGGACAAGTGTGGGGGCGCCATGGTTGTCAGGACAGGTCCCCAGGCTGGCTGTGTGTCTGTGTGTGTCTGTGTCTGTGTGTCTGTATGTGTATGCGTGTCTGTGTTTGTGTCGTACGTGGGAAGGCTCATGCACCTGTGTATGTCTGTGTGTCCCTGCGTGTGGTGTGTGCTTTTAGGGAGCCTGAGCCACAATCCCTGAGATCATCTTTGTCTACTATCTAAACAAATCAGGGCCAGTCAGGAATTTTTGTCAAACCCTTGCAAAGCCCCGGGGTCGGCAGGAAATGCGGCCTTAAGGGCGACCCTTCCCAGAGGACATGCGGTCGCCTCTCGCATTGTTTCCGAGGCCCCACGTAAGCCCGTAAGCCCGTCCTCAGCAGTTTGGCACTCTGCTGCCGGGGAGCTGAACACAGTCCCTCTCACACAAAGGCCTCGATTTGCTTTATCTGCAGGATTCCCGGGATGCCAGCAGTCTGCCGGCGCAGGCACACCGCCCAGCACCCCGATTTTCCACTCCAGGGCCCAGCGGGGCTCACCCACAAATCCGCACTGTGTAGCAAGGGCGTTGTTGTGGGTCAGTGGGAATGTGTCGGGCCAGCCAAACTCTCCGTGAGGTGGGCAGGCAGCCTGGACAGCCACTGCCAACCCCACCACAGCCCTCGGAAAGGAGCGAGGGCCTGGCCATGCCCGCCAGCCCCTTCCAGGACAATTATTTAGCTGTTTATCCACCTACCTGTCATCTATCTATCTCTCCATGATCTATCCATTCACCTATCATCTATTTATCATTTATCTATCAGTCATCTATCCATCCATCCATGATCTATCTATCCATCCGTCTGCCATCTGTGTATTTGTCATTTATCTATTTACCTGGCATCTAGCTGGCGAGCTAGCATCTACCCTTCTTCTTTGAGAAACTCAGTCTTTGTTCGTAGCCTTCAGCTGATTGAATGAGTCCCATCACATTATGGCGAGGAATCTGCTTGCCTTGGAGTCCACTGAATGACACGTTAGTCTCACCTACACACACCTTCACAGCAGCATCTTGACGGGTGCTCGGCCACACAGCCGGGCCCCACAGCCCAGCCGAGCTGACATGTAACATTCACCGTCACTCCTGGGGGGACCTTCTTGGTGCTCTCAAAGCCACGGGAAAGGCGAGTGCTCGAGCTGAGGACGGATCCTCTTACACAACCGCTGCGGAGAAATCACCAGAACCCAAGACATGCAGAGAGATTACGGTGGTTTTCATTCGGCGTCCAGCTGCTCCAGCTGGGAGAACTGTCAGCAGGCTCGCGTGTGAGGAGAAGAAACGGAGTGGCCCCTGGCCTCTGGAACCCACCGGCCCTCACGGCCAGAGCCTCCCGGACTAGCAGCCAAGCCCAGATAAGGCTGCTCTAGACGGTGGTGGCCAAGCTGGGCGGCTGGTAATTGCGTCCGAGCCCAGATGCAAGGTTTCTGTGCACTCACAAATCCACCCACCTCCTCTTGCTAATGAGCAACGCTCTGCCCAAAAGCAGGACAATTGCACCCCCTGGTATCCATCACCCAGCAGGCCGGGCGCTTCTGCTTCCAGGCTGTTTGGACTGTTCTGTCAAAGATGCAACCCTAAGGGCGGCAGAAGCCTGAAATATGCAAAGTCTGACCCCGATTATTGCCTCGTAAACCCCCTAATCCCCTCACACCATAGCAAGACCTGGCTCGGCTGAAACCAGCTGCCAGCAGCTGCCAAACGGAGACGTTAAAGACACAGGGTCATCCAATGACAAGAGCACCTTCTGTTCCAGGCAGAGATTCCACCTGCAGAAATGTATCCAACAAACAGAGACTCGCACAGGCGTGGAGTCGCCTGTGCACGGGGGTACTCGGGGCAGCTGTGTCTGTGGCAGAAAAACCAGACACTGGCCAACGGGCACTGGAGGGGCCAGGGGCGCTGACTTCTGGGGCATGGGATACTCTGCAGCGCTCTGGAAATGGGAAACGTGTGCACGTGTCTCCATGGCAGCACCACTCACAGCAGCCAAGAGGTGGAAACCACCCCAATGACACCCGCAGAAAACGTGGGCTAAAGAAAACGTGGCATACGCACACAGTGGGACATTACCCGGCTGCAGAAAGGAAGGGCACCTGAGACACAGCGCAACGTGGGGGAACCTGGAGGACGTCACGCTGAGTGAGACAAGCCAGTCCCAAAAGGACAGGCTGTGTGATTCCACTAATAGTGGGCCCCTAGAGGAGTCCCATTCACAGAGACAGAAAGTAGGAC